TATTGGTTCAAATACGAATTTGTGGCATTTTGTAATGCCTCAGTATATAAAGAGAAGATGGATATCCTTTTAAAATCTTGCTGTGATGGTTTTCTTTCTTTTGTCTTTGATGTCAACCTGCTATGCTGCAGAAGTATCATTTTAAAAATAAAAATTATTTTTCTTGACAACAACAGTCAATATATTTCTATGAAACATTGGCTCTTTTACTGCTTATAGAATTTATGCATCTTTTAATGATCATTTTCAATTTCATAAATATAAATCTGATTTGAATAGTACTTTTATTTTTGTATGTGTGCTATACATTTCATGTAATATAAACTTGATCTTCATTCCTTGAGTATTTTGTTTTACTGAAAATAAAGGTATTTTTTACTTAAAGGCTGGGATTTTTATGTTAACATTTAGTTTTTTTTATAGAAGAGCGAGTCTTTTGAAATTCCTTTATCAAAACAAATAATGGAAAATAGTTTTACTGTAAATCTGTTAATTAAACAAAATTTTATGAGAGAATTTGTTAGAATTCTCTCAAACAGCTTGTTTGACTAATTATACCACAAATCAAAGAAACATTTATTTTTTTATTTTTGAAGATCCATACTGACCTAAATGGCTACCAGTTGTTTCACTTATTTGTCAAGCTGCACAGCGCCTAACAGGGGTGGTAGTCCCACCTGCAAGAAGGTGGCCATGAAGCCTAATTTCTACACTGATATTTTGTACAGGTGCAAGTTGAATGCAAGTTGCCTAAGATAAAAACATTAATAATAATTTGAATTTAGGTATTTGCTGGTTTGATTTCATATGATACAGATACAGAGATAATATGCTCAGCAAAAATAAAGCAAGACTTGTGTACCATCCTGTGTAGACACTTTTCCATAGAAGATAAATCTGTGCAGTGCTGCAGAGATTTGTGTCCTCTGGACAAGGTCTTTTGTCTCAGCCATGGAAGTCTGTCTGGGTGATCAGTGTGGTCTTAGTCACTTCTTTGACCAAGGCCCTTCTTGTCTGGTTGCTTCGTTTGGGAGGACAGCCTACTCTTGGAAAAGTCCAGGTGGATTCATATTATCATAGTTTCCTAATGATACACCTCACTGTCCTTCTTGAACTTTCACCCTAGATATGTTTTAAACCCCTTCCCAGAGCTATGCCTCCTCACAATTCTATAATTGGCTATTGTACAGACCACTCCCTGATCTTCATGGTAGAGTTTGTGTTTTGACATGCACTGTTAACTGATAACTTTGTCACGTTCATTCTAAGATCATATCAACTGAACTTGTCCCAGGTGGATTTCATTCAAGTTTTAGCATGATATCACAAGGAAATTAGGTGCAGAAAACCTTGGCTCAAAACAAAGTATCATAGTAACTTTGACTTTATA